TACAGTAGGTTTTATTAACAGACAGGTACAACAAAGAAACTAATTTCCTGGGGAATGTCTATATTGCAATAACTTCTGCATTGGTCTTGCTGCACCCTGAGGCTGCAGCTGTCTGTACACAGGTCACAGGTGTGTCGCCAGACAGGCCACAGCTCCACCTGCTCTTTTTATTTACCTTTGACATATACAGAGTGAGTCCTCGGTGTGCTGAAGACAGACTGTCACAGTGATCTACAGCCACAGCTGTTTTTATGATGTTCTGTCTTTGAGGACAGCCGGATCTCTATCTGAACTGCTCGTCCACTTTGTAACGCTTTGAAAACGAGAGCAGCTTCAGCTTTCATCAGTTTTCTCTGAGAAGCGAGTTAAGAGTAAGAAAGTTGAAATTAACAAGAAATAGACAAAAGAGGGAGTCTGGGTAAATACAGGCTCTCTTTCATTTCTTCTTGAGACATAAAGAGAAGACGAAGCGGGCAGCACATGTTAAAGAGGGAATTTTAAGCCTTGAGACATTTGTGCAAAACTTGTGCAATCGTCATGGATTGTGCAATGAAACTTTTTTTAACAATTAGAAACTGGACTTAGATATAAAACACAACATAGTCTGTCTAAGGCTGCAACAAACAGTTATTTTAATTACATAATTTATAAATCCAAAATATTTTCTAGACCAACAGTCTAAAACTCGCAGCAAATCCTGACATATAAGAAGCTGGGACTGGGGATTGTTTGGCATTTTTGTTAGTTTTGTAGTTAACTTGCCGAAAAGTATTCAAGACTTAACGATATTTCATAACATTTAATCCAGGGTTTTGCCTCTACAACTGTTAAAGTAGCACATATTTGCCTCCACCATGAAAACAACACGTGTTCGGCTTCATGGAGCTCAGCTCGTGAGCCACCCAGTGTTTTGTGAGTGGCTGAGTGAGGGGCTGCAAATCAAGGGAGAGGGAGGTCCGGGTTGTTACACAGTGGGCTAGTGTGAACCTGCCCTCCTGCGTCTTTATCCCCGTCCCAGTACCCTGCCTGGGTCTCAGTGTCACATGCAAACAGTTCAAGAATGAGTGTGCAGGAGTTACCCAACACGGACACTTAATCCTTGATTAGTTAATGACCCTTAAGAGGCTATAATATTACAAATACAACTTTTATATAGCAACAGCACTTCAGATTATCACCAGCACCTCTCCCCTCTGTGCTCCAGCGTGTGATAAAGGATGCTGGTGCTGCTGGTGACGTAGGACGCTGATTAGATAAGCTCTTTCAAGGGCCTAACTGTAGCTCCTGTCCTCCTCCTGCTGCTACATGTCTGCTTGCTCTTCAAAGCAAATCATATCCTTATATGGAAATTTCAACAACAAAAAACTGCCCAGAAAACAAGACGCAAAGACAAATAAGTGTTATTATTACACCTGTGTATGCTGATTACAGTGCTCACCTTGACAACCTGCCTACCAGGCAGCCCCGACAACATATGCTGACAGCCTGGCAGCATGAATAGACAGCTTGTTACATTGTGTGGTTAGAGCCCGCTGCTGGTTTGGACTGCACAGTCCACTGAGACTGGGGAGTAAACACAAAATAATATTGTAATTTCTCTAGAGCCGCCATTCAAGTCAGTGAAAGTGTCACTTTGGCACTGTAGTCTTGGCCTGATAATAACAATGAATGACATGTTCACTTTATTCACTGTCTTTGATGTTTATAATAACAGTGTGAGAAACAGAGAATTGGCACCGGAATCTGCACCCCCTTTTTTTCTTTGAGAGTTTCAGTTCACTGTTTATCTGTCTGGCGGTTTTACAGTTTTTTGCACTCATAGCGTCACTTTCGGTTGCAGCAGGCAGCTGTTTCAGTGGGCAGCCTCTAAAAAAAATTACTGTACACTGTACTCTACGGGCTCAGCACTAAACTACAGACATACAAAATATAGCCATGAGCTGGTGAATATAGTGGAGCATTTAGGAGTTGGTGGAGACCAGAAACACAACTCCAAATGAATTATAATGTTTCTCTGTAACTGCTGTTTGTGTAAATATGCAACTGCTTGCTAACAAGTT